GTGCTCGAGCCCTCAGAGATGTTCAACGTGAGTCTTTCTGACGTGCTCGAGCCCTCAGAGATGTTAAACGTGAGTCTTTCTGACGTGCTCGAGCCCTCAGAGGTGTTCAAAATGAGGCTTCTACTCACCCACGGCGCCGCAGGTACCACCAGGCTCCGTCCACCCGCCCCCCCGCGCAGCCCCCCTGGTTCCGCGTGTCACAGGCGATGAGGTTTTGGGGCGACAGCTGGGGGGTCATGTGACCCATCGACTGGATGGAGATTCTGTCCGAAGCCACGGCTGAAGAACGAGAAACCACGTTCAAACGGAGAACAGGCTATCTATGGCCTACTAAATGTTAGTCAATTTCTCCCTGGAGATCAATAAAGTATATTCAATTCAATTCAATTCAATTCAATTCAATTATCCCACTGGTGTTTTTGTCCCTGGGGGTTTCTTTTCAGGACCCACCTGCTGTGGAAAAGGCCCAGGAGGCCGCACAGTTCCCCTGATCCAACGGCTCGTGGATCTTCCCCGGCCACTTCTCCACGGAGTTGAAGTAGAGCGGCAAGCGCTCGCTCTGAGGATCCATGTTCATCTGCAGGAAACACAGACTGAGCGCTCAGGATTTTCTCAACAGACTTTCAGGCATTTTATTCCCTCTGCTGCTTCTCTAAGTAGGTTAAAATGGTTTGTTTTGTACAGGGAATCCTACCATTTTCAACTGTTTTCTCTTTATCTAAGTAAAAAAAAAAACGTTCTATATAATTGTTTATTTTATTTTGTTTATTTATTATTAGGATCCCCATTAGCTGTGCTTTACACCCCGCTACTCTTCCTGGGGTCCACATCATTAAAAATACAGTATACAATGTAAATTCATGAACATGTTTGACAGATGACAAATATCATATACATATCAATAAGACTGAACATTCATAGAAAAGGGGAAAGTTAAAATTTTAAATGTAAGATTTTACCATTTTATGCTTAAGTTACAATAAATTAGAATATGAAACTATTTCATTTATAGATAAGTTGCTCCTAAAAACTTCTTAAGTTGCATTTTAAAAGCAGACTTATGTACAATTTTTATGAGAATTAATGGCAATGAGTTCCATTCTGTCATTGCTCTGTAAGTAAAGGTGCATTTGAGAAAAAAGAAACTTTTGAGAAAAGTTTTCGCCCTGGGAATTACAAATCATCCTTCAGCTGCATGTCTCGTGGCATAACCATGAGAGTCCAAATTATTCTTAAATTGAACAAACAATTGGTTATTCAGTTTTCAAAATTTGACCACACTCGAGTTCTTATAGTTCAAAACTGCAGTATAAAGATGAGGTCACAGTCACCTGCGTTATCAGTGCGCATTCAGAGTGGAGACAGCAATTAAAATACTTCAGAGGTACTTTGAATGGCCACTTTGGATCACATAAGGGTGGATTACATAAGACTCCTAATCAGCTCAACAATGGAAGCGTTTCTTCAAAGGCAGCTAGGAGCATTTGGCCCGGGGTCAAATCTGAACCTTTGATCCCGTTCCTCTCTGTGAAACCATGTTTGGTTGCATCAGTGTAAATTTCAGTGCATTTGCTTGACGGGCTAGCGAGCATTTCTTTTTTCAGGGACCTCTCGGATGCCAGACATGCTCCGTTATTAATCTGGATTTGAGGTTGGATGCGCTCCCTAAACTGCCAGCGATGTGTGATAACTGAACACACGTTTGTGCAGAGCGGACTTCCCTCTTTTCTCACACAGACCCAGACTGTCTGAACTGCATTCCCCGTATTAACGGGGGGGGGGTAATCAGAGGACAGACTGCCACCTGACGTGGTCGTCCAATGGCGTGTGCTGATGGCCTGAGACTTGTAATTCCAGAAGGCTTAGGTCTAAAAAGGCGTCTTGTGTGCATAAAACCGAGTAAATTGTGTGTTTGTCTGGAGGTGGACTCCTAACTGTGCATATGGAAATTGAATATATTTTATCTGTACCCTTCACTTTTCATTTTTCTAATTTTTATTATTTTTCTTTTGTTGTTTTTCTGCTTTTAAATTCTCTGTGAAGCACTAAACTTGCCTTGCCTTAAATAAACAAAATGGACGAGAGGATGGGGCCGTGTGAGTGTTTTTTTTAAAAATGTTTCTGGCTCCAGTCTGGGCACACTTATGGCCGAGGAGAGCTTCTGTTTGGGTGGGGGAATGACGGATGATGGATGGAGGATGGGAGGTGTAGACTGAACAGCAGCCACCGTCCCACCCCTCATCTTCTTTGTCCCATGTTTTGGTTCCTGTCTTATGTAATCTGTCTGAGTAAAATGTACACACAGACTGAGCCTATCGGAGCGGGCCGAGACTCCAGACGGAGCCACCGCTGCATACCAACCAGCCACCGTGTGTGAATGTGTTTTAATCAGCGCTCACTTATTAGGGATTTCTAAACATCTACCACCCATGTATGCATGGGCCTGAAAAAAAAAGAGAAGTCACAACTAAACTGAAACAAGTGCATTTCCTTGTTTTCCTCCTCATCTCTAGAAGCACTAAACTAAAACTATATAAAAGTGACATGTCAGTTAAGGTGGTTAAACCCTCAAGCGCGATATACTTAATAATCTGTTCTACCATGATGAAAAAATGAAGATTATTCTGTGTTAAAAAAAATTTTAGGATTCATTCATGTGTATTAAACAAACCTCAACAATTATAAGACGAAGAATGGCAGGTGCAGAGATGGTAAAAGACCAACGGAAAGATAAGATCAGCTCCCTGTGGCTCACATAGGAATGAGACCGTGGATTCCAGACAGATTTGCAGATAGATAACGAGCATTTCAACAAAGTTGTTTTTAGTTATTCATGTTATGTTTCTTGCCATTATGATATCACCAGCTATTTGATAAGGAATCAATTAATTTATCTTCAGGGCTTCAAATCACCCCCAAATATTGTAGATTAAACACATAAGGTTATCCAAACCATCTCACCACATTTATTAAACCTCTACTGTCACATATATGTATTTACATTTGCCAACTTGTTCCAGTTGTTATATAACTGGGATGTTGAGGAGACATTTAAATGCTATTACTGGCAACCACAGCAAAGATTTCACAGTCCCTTCATAGCTACTTTTTCTTTTTTACGGCAAGTTTTCCAGTAAACTTCCACAGGAGTACTTCATCACTGAAGTTTGAAGCTCAACCTTTAGCCCACTCACATATCTTTGGCCACCAGAGTCCCTGGAATCCATCATTTATGTGCAAAAAAAAGAAAGGAGGCATTCTGTACCTGTATCTCATTCATGTTCATGATCGTTCTGGAGGGTCTCTGTGTGCCGAGGCGGAAGCGGATGCCTTCGTCCAAAGTCATGCCGTAGAGCTGGCTATAGTTCGCTGCTTTCCACCTAAAGGCAGAGAGAAAGAATCAGAATCAGAAATACTTTAACTCTATAATGCCAAATGTATCATATTTGACACATACGGTTTCTGAAATGTTTTGCGTCTGACACCTTTTGCATAATTTAACGATAAAAACTTTGCTCAAAATCCTATTTTACACAATCAGATACACCTGATAACAGGGGTAAGAAGACTACACAAAAGATAATCTTTACTTATCGCATAGTAATAAATTATTAATATTAAAATTGTATTTTCTTTTTTTCTTTTTACATATTTTTACATATTTTTACATATTTTGTTAAAAGGCCAAATAAGGAATTCAAACAAAAAAAAAAAGTCATTTTCTGTTTTGTTTTATTCTTGGATCAGGCTTTAAAGGGTCAATAATCCCAGAGGAAAATTATGAATCAATGCTTAACAGCAAACTCTTTAATGCCAACAGCACTGTGATATATGGTGTGTTTTCGTTTCTTACCCATAATTCCCTCTGTTGACGTTATTGATGATGTCGGCCTCCATCAGACAAGCGTTCTGCTCACACTCCCAGCGGCCCGTGGTCCCGCATGTGCTAAGAGAGCCCAAAACAAGAGTAATGGCCATTTAAGTCCAGTAGCAACTGCACGGAAACTTCCCTAAATTTTCATATTGTTGTTGAGGCCCTTAAAGTCAGCTGTTAAAATAAAAAGCCCCTATCAGGGGATGTTATGCAGAGGCTTGGTGGAGCTCCAAGGTTAGAAATGAATCCTGAGAAAAAATGTCAACAAAAGACTGGAAAAAGCACAAATGGGAGAAAGACCGAGAGGTTAAAGGGAACTCGAGGCTGGAGAACACCGAACCATTTTTAGTCCCAAGAATAGCAAGATAAGCCGGCCGGATATTATCAGTGACGCACAGATTTTTATTTTGAGAACACTCCTTTACTTTCTGATGACTCACTCTCAGAATAGTGTGTCTGCATTTTTGTGTGGGAAGTCAAAGGAGCAGTGAAAAAGGAAGTAAGAATAGAGCATAGGGGTTTATTTTTATGAGGAAATGTTCAATAGCAGCATTTTCTTTTCATTTTGTGGCCAAACTCACCCCACTTTATTTCCATGATGCTTTTTAATACAGTAAATCTGTCATTTATAACTGCAAAACTTACTCTGGGATACTTGTTTTTAACTAGAAAACAAAAAATACTTATACTTAAGTACTTATTACTTACATAATTAAACAGATGTAATTAGCAAAAAAAGTTATCTTATTTTAAATAAAAAAACATCATTCAATTTGATATTCAGAAAGTTGATTAAAGAAAGTTGTTTGTGACAGAAACTGAAGCAGAAAGCAGACTCCCTCAGATGAGTCCAAATCTGAACAGGAAATCCTCTAAAACTAATCAAGAATCACTTCAAGTGTGTCCTTCCTATGTTTTGGGTGTGATAGTTAAAATACCATTTCATTTAAAGATGACTGTACATGAGAAGATTAGGAAGAAGAAAAGCCCAGACACAATCATTAAGCACTCAGTGATGAAGAGGTCAAATTCCCTCGATCATTAAACCGCCCTCTTTCCTGTTGGCTGACTCATGTTTAAAGACACTGGTTAAGTGCACAACTTCACATGGATTTATTCACACCAGCAGATTCAGCCGGACATACGACGAGGATCGGACGAAAACATTCGATTAAAGCAATGTGAAGACGAACTTCTGCATGGGCACGATAGACAGGAGGTCAGAAACAGCTTTCACCGAACTACAGATCCATGGAAACGGAGTGTGAAGGAAATTGAACTAGTTGGAGGCTGTGCTCCATATTCCCTTCACACGCCCCTTTCCTGGAAATGGACACACACACACAGCTGGATGATGACACAAGAGCAGAAATACGTGTGTTAAAATTGAGAAAATTAAATATACAATGAAGGGATGTACAGACAAATTTTTCCAAAAATGGCAGTGTTTTCTGTCTTATTTTTCAGATTTGGAGCTCCTACCTAACTAAATAAATGCGCCTGTTGCTGTATTTTGCTGATGTTTTTTATAATTATTATTATTATTATTATTATTATTATTATTATTATTATTATTATTATTATTATTATTATTATTATCATTCTTATTATTATTATTTATTTATTTTTATTTTTATGCTGAGCATGTTGGGCTGAGACAGGGTGGGAATGGGGTGTATTGTTCTCTCCTTTTATTGTTCTTATTTTGTTTTGTTTTTGTTTTTTGCATATGTAGTAGGTGTGACTATTTCAACATTTGCACTTTTGTATATATATTAGAAGTTATACCTGCATTTTTATACGTTTACCCCCCCCCCCCAAAAAAAGTGAACTGTATTTCTTAGTGTGATTATCTTATCATTTGCTTCAATAAAAATCATTTGGAAAATAAATATGTGTGTGTGTGTGTTCACATATCTGCCCCATCTAAAACACTTCAGACGGTCCAAACTCCCATTGGCTCTGGTCCAACTGGACAACAAGCCATCAGGGGAGATAGCTGCCCTCCTTCGGGCCGTTTAGATTCCCGGGACGAGCGGGAGGTGCCGTGTTCCGCATAGTTTAAGGCAGATAGACGCGTTATCAGGGAGGAAAAGGCCTCATCTGGAAATCACATTAAAGCAACAAAAGGCAGCCACACATATCCCGGTTTGTAGGTAAACAAACCGCTGGGAGTCCTCATGCGTGTCCAGGCTGTGTTGTGTCTATGGATCCACCAGCTTTTCTAGATAAGTATTTTCAGGCCTTATTTGTACTGGAGAGACAGATAACGCACCATGGCGTGCATTTTTTTAAGTGGATGTTGTTTATTGTTGGCTCATGCAAAGATTTCTTTCACTGTTGAAGTCGGTTAAAAGGAGAAAATAGACAAGTGAACGTGAGGGCCCCGAGTGGGCTAATGAGGCCCTTTGGAGGCAGATGGAGGAGAGCTGCCTGTTGAGTCAAAGAGGAAGTTCTGCTCAAAACCCTGTAGAGTTTGTACGACACAGATTTGGCGCATTCATAAGGGCAGGGAGTGGGAGGACAAAAAGAACAAACTTTGCCTTAGTTGTAGCTTCATTGAGCTGCCACAATAATGACGGGTGGACGATGACAAAAGCGGATGGTTTGCATGTAAATGCTGTTTTCAACTCTAACACAACCCAAATAAATGCATATACATGAATGCATGCTGACTTTAGATTTGAGATACGAGAGAAAAGTGAGAGGGAAGAATTCAGGTATTTTTCTTCCATTCAGTTCCCTTCAGTCTCTCCAGAATTGCTGAGCTTTTCTTAGTCTGTCATCCAAACCGTGGAGAAAAAGACAATAGTCATGGACCGCGTTCCCCTCTGCACAGAATATCAGTCCGATTAGTTTTAAATAGACATTATTCTGTCACTAAGGGTTAAATAAATCCAGTCAGTGCTTATAGTCACTCCTTTTCAGGGTGACTACATTAATAGATGTCTACGAATTTATCGTTGAGAATAAAAGAGGGAAAAATCCATGTTGACAAGTGCAGAGTAGTGTTTTGTTTAAGGATCCAATCTCCTTTTTTTGTCTGCTGACAGAAGTGTGTTTTTACATCAAAGTACACCCACTGGTTAAACAGGAAAACGGCTTCAATTACTGTTAAATTTGCCATGGAGGACACGAAATCTCCTTTGACAACATAATTGCCCCATAAGATATGGGAAGCTTATCTAGATGCTTGATTTAATTTAATTTCAGTTAAGCTGTTACCATTTTTCTGCAAAAAAAAAGAAAGACTAACACATTTTTCTTACGGTAGAACGACCAGAGAAAAAGTGGTTCATTCCTATTTCTCTTTTTTAATCTGTGTAAACATGAGCATGGAGCTGGACAGGGATTGTTGTGAGGCCTAATTCTCATCTAAAAAGACTTTAAAAGGTAATCAAACACACTATAATATGGATTTTCTACTACATCTGGCCATCAGTGCTGCATCACATGCTGACAAATGTTAACGTTTCAAATTGGATGTCAGATAAGATAATGTGGTAACAAAGTAAATAATCATCTGTTGCAAAAAATAATGAAGAAATACTACATTCTCCACCTCAAAAGCACTGGAAAATAAGGCTTTTTAAATAGTATTTCTGTTTTATTTGCTAAGTTTTTTACACAAGCATTGGCCAGCATTTAAAATATATCACTTGTGGTCAGAGTGTAGGACATTTTTAAATTAAGGCAAAAAATATTACCTTCTTAGAGTTCTTTGACTCCTTCTGAAAGGCTTAAACAATTTAGTTGCCCATTTTCTGTCTCATCGTGTCATGCTAAACCACTCTGACAACAAACCGTCCTGAAACCGGGCCATCTGAATAAAATCAAGCTGATCTGAGATGTATTAACTGTGACAGCACGTTTCCAAAAGCAAATTATAAGCAACTTGCATGATAGCAGTGAGAAAGTAAAGGCAAAGCATGGAGGAAATTACGTGAATGAGGGTCAGGGGTGAAATGATGTGTATGTATGAGAACTTTTTTTAAAGGTTCACGCGAATCAGAAACAATTTCTGTAAAGTTTGTGTGCCAGGAGTAAACGTTGCCTCATAAAGTGTCAGCGGATTTCTCCCTGAAACACATGCTGTGCCCACACAGGCATTTCCAACACACACTGTTTGGTTTTATATTGTGCAAATCCCACAGGTTTAAGAGTACCAAATACTACAGTGAGTCAGGGAGGAATTTGGAGAAGAGTTGTGCTCATGAGATGTTGTAATAGTGTATCCCATCTTAAAAATGCACCCACCCCTCTGCTTATTTTCCTAAATGTTTGCTCAAGTACATAAAGTGCATGAAAAACAAATCAGATGGAAAGTGGGAGGAAATTATAAGCTTCTTAAGGGGACATTTGACTGGAAAGTGTAGGATTTACGTGGCCCAAACAGAAATGAATGAAGAAAGAGGGGCTTACATACCATAGGTTGCAGTTCTCCTTGTACGTTTGTCCCGTAAAGAACCTGTTCCCGTTTCTTTCACAGACGCCTGAGAAGAGACAAAGAGGGGGACTTTAATACGCAGTTTTGATGTGGTGAAACACAAATGGTCCCTGAAACTAATCCAAAAGAATTAAAGGCACGGCTTCAAATATAGATGTAGGTACAAGTTGACTAACACTATACACAGCTCTCACACTGGATACGGAGCAAACAAACTTGTAATAACTACTGAAATTGTCGATAGCTACCTATGTGTGTGTGTGAGTGTGTGTGTTTGAGGCGCATACACACAGATTATATGAGGTCTAAGGAGCTCTGAGCTCCAGTAAGCCAGTGTAGGAATTTTAGCGTTAGCTTCTTTCCTCCCTTCCCAGGCTTCCTCGACTTTGGTCATGCTTTAACCAGCTTACACTCCACTTCACTACACCTAAGCAGACCCAGGGCACGCCCCCCTCATTACATAAATACTTTAACATCAAAGCATCTATGTATCCCAGCTGAAAAATCAAGATGAAGTCATCTTGGCGTTCGCCAAACGACCAAACGACAGCAGTGAAATCGGTTGGTCTTCTCCTGTATTTCCCTCCAGGGTCTGAACTCTGAATTTTGCCACCGTCAACACCGTGTTGACTCAGTTAGACTCCCGATGAGCGTTTTCTGCCTCCTGATTTACAGTGCGGAGGCTCTGGGTGTTGATTCCATGTGGAATTTCAGGCCTGACCTGGCTTGAATCCACAGCTGTCCTTTGGGAGGCCCTGAGCTAACGGTGTGATTTATAACTGGGGCTCTTCTGCCATCTGCCACCTCGCAGCTTTTCCAACTCAGGCTGTCACAACTTGGTTAGTGCAGAGCATCTTAACCCTGTAATGCCAAACGTATCATATTTGATACGTACTGTTTCTGAAATGTTTTGCGTCTGACACCTTTTGCATAATTTATTGGTAAAAACTTTGCTCAAAATCCCATTGTACACAATCAGATACACCTGATAACAGGGGGCAGAAGACTACACCAAAAATAATCTTGACTTATCGCATGGTAATGAATTATTAATATCAAAAATGTATTTCTGTTTTTTCTTTTTACATATTTTGTTAAAAGGCCAAATACAGAAAGTAATTTTCTGTTTTGTTTTATTCTTGGATCGGGCTTTAAAGGGTTAAATAGAACAGGTTCCACCTTAATAAAGATATGGGAAGCTTAGTTTTAAATAAACCCCCAAAAAAGTAATTTTCTGTTTTGTTTTATTCTTGGATCGGGCTTTAAAGGGTTAAATAGATCAGGTTCCACCTTAATCCAGAAAGAAAACATGTGCTTTAACAATTATGAATAGATTTGATGGTAACTTTACAAACTGAGTGATACATTCACGATTAGGAGAAAAGACCTACAGTTAAGTTTAGTCCCTTTCTGTCTTCTAAAGGTAAAATAACTTTATCTGGGTTGGTTATGGGGGGTGATCACATGACAGTGTGTCACATCTCCCGAGTCGCCCACCTCTTTGACCGGACACCGCATACCTGCACAGAGAACCTCCACCTCCCATTGTGCGTCTCTCCACCCTCCACATAGCACACATTCTTTCTCCCGACCTCCTTCCCTGATCTGTCTGGGTTAATAATAAGCCCACTGTTACCTGTTCCTCTCTCTGGAAGTGTCACCCTTTGCTCCCGCGGGAACATTTTTACACCTCGGTATTGACAGTAATCATACCAGGGAGCACCAGGTGGCCCTGGTATGATGTTCTGACAGCCATTTATCTTTTTTTTAAGTCTTTTTTTTTGTCAGAATGATTATAGTGTAGAATCTCTATTGTTTCCCATTATTGTTTTTTTCATTATTGTTAACAGCATTAGTCAGTGCTGTTAACCTTTAACTCTGAGGCTGAAACATACCCTTTTGCAGACAACGGAGGGTGGTAAAAATAGCCTCTCACTAAATCCGGCTAGTTTGAGGAAAGACGTTCCATGATTTAAAAATAGATAAAAAAGTATCTGAACCTTGGTACCTTTATTTAGGTTTTCCTTTATTTAAAACTAATTACATCTAACATGAACACCTGCTCCTTGGTAACTTTTAATTATGAAATTGAAAGAATCTATTAACACTGTATTTAACATAATTAAAAAACAGAGTCTGTAAGATAAAGAAAAGATTTGTGTAAAAATATAATATAACAATAGCTGCAAACTAATGTGACTATAGACTGAAATATGAAGCATGATCTCATATTAGGCATTTGGGCCCCACAGGAATCCAAAGGTGTCTCGGTTAATAATCCATTAACTTGGTGCTTGTGCCCTTCATCTGCAAACTTTGGATGTTTGTGGGCTTCAAACTGCCAATGGACCAAATGGACCACTGGACCTCCAAAGCCAACTGATTGCCTTCTGGCATCGTTTCTTCCCCAAACTGCAATTTTCGGCCCGTGTGATGCCACCGCATAACGAGGCGTTTAAGCCTCTGCGCCCATTTTTATTTGTTTTCTCTGCAGTCGGGCAGATTCTGCATCACAACCAAAAGCAGACAGCACCAGCAACCTTTCCTGAAAGGGTTCGTATATTCTCCCATTTTTGTTGCTGTAATAATTCAGGTCAATCTTTTCCCCTTTCCCCCTTGAATTTTCACCCAAATTTCCTTAAATGTCTAACAAAACGATGGAGGTTTGGTAGGAGGTTTTGCACTAAATGTAGCAAATCAAATGATCCGAAATGCCAACACACAGTAAAGGAAGATGCTATTTTATATTTTGTAGATTTATTTTAAAGGTTTAAAATATATATTATATTGACGGGAAGCGTGTTCAATCCCCCCAGAAACAGTAATTCTTCTTCTTCTCATCGCCTGAATGGAAGCACACACAACAACACGGGCTCGTCCTTGTTTACCCTAAACCTGCAGTCAAAAGGATTCCCCTCCATGCTTTTGGACGTCTCATTTCACACTTTTTTTTTATACCCCACCAGTACGTACCGATGAAAGGCGGCTGGATGCCCAGGCAGTGGCCCCAGAAGTCGGGGCAGCAGTCGGACACGGTGCGGTTGCAGAACAGGTCGCAGTAGCAGATCGTGTCCAGGTAAGGCACCGTGCACTGGTCATCCCTCCCCGGGCAGCAGCCCCCCCGCCGCTGGCAGTAGGAGCCGAAGGGGTCCCTGATCCCGCCCACGTGCAGAGGGCTGGCCAGCTCCCTCCTGGTTCTCCTGGACAGGGTCCTCTCTCCGGATCCATCTTCCACCAGCATCAGCAGCACAACGGCAGCCAACAAAACCAGCCTCATGGTCAGTCTGCAGCTGGAGGAGGAGATCAGACACGAAAGGATTTTAGTTTCATTTGTTTGTGGGGTTAATTGGTCCAAATAGGGTTGTTTTTGCCTTCACGTTTAACAGGAAGAAAGACAAACATGTTACAGAGTATTTAGGCCAGGGTTAATTCATTTGTTTGTGGAGTTATGGGTCCAAATAGGGTTGTTTTTACCTTCACGTTTAACAGGAAGAAAGAGAAACGTTTTACAGAGTATTTAGGCCAGGGTTAATTCATTTGTTTGTGGGGTTATGGGTCCAAATAGGTTTGTTTTTACCATCACGTTTAACAGGAAGAAAGAGAAACATGTTACAGAGTATTTAGGCAAGGGTTAAGTCATTTGTTTGTGGAGTTATGGGTCCAAAATAGGGTTGTTTTTGCCTTCACGTTTAACAGGAATAAAGACAAACATGTTACAGAGTATTTAGGCCAGGGTTTATTAATTTGTTTGTGGGGTTATGGGTCCAAATAGGGTTGTTTTTAACTTCACGTTTATCAGGAAGAAAGAGAAACTTGTTACAGGGTAAGTGGTGTAACGGGGGGACTCCAAACGCACAATCTGCTGTGTAATTTACTTCACACACATCAAAGATTAAAGCTTAAAGGGAGCTGGCAACCAGCGGTCCAAAACAGAAACCCCTGCGATCGGAGATCGGAGATTGTCCGTTTTCCCCAGATTTCCCTTAAAGCAGCCAAGACAAACAGAAGCTAAATACCAAAATATGCTCAGAACCAAAAAGAAAGGACAAGGACAGAAACACTGTGTGCTTCAAACGGGCTGAGAGATGGAAAACTGCCATAGTTTGGTCAAAGCCTTTATTCTGTCTTAGACTGTACATGAATTTGTTCATGTTTTAACTGTCCCACCATTACCTCGACACCCAGAATAGTGTCTCTATGAAACTTTAGACTTAACACAGGTCAAACAATCATCCGTATGAAGTGGAGCTTGTGTGTGTGGGTGTCGCCCTCATTAATTATCTCAACGTAGAAAAAATGAGGCCCCGGAAAAGATCTTTGCTGTGCAGTTTTCTGCATGACTGCGCCTTTAGCTGAATCCAACACACACACTCACATGCACACACACTCACACATGCACACACACACACAAAAGCATATGGCAGCATGGGATGGGCAGGTCCCCTCCTCTGCACAAGTGTTTTGTTGTGGTGGCTCTGAGTGCAATAAAACACCCACCCGGCCGCTCACAGGCCGCCCCGAGACCCTCAGGTCAAACTGTCAGGGATGATCAAGTGCTTCGTTTTTAGCCTCTGTTCTCGTGAGGCAAAACCAGAATTATTCTTCAATTTGCTTAAACGTGACTTCCGATTTGAGATTTTTTCATCAGCGGTAAGAAAATGCGGTTTTAAAAAAGACAATCAAAAGCTGAGATTCGGTCTTTCATGACACCCGGACTTTTCCTAACATAAAAGGTTGTAGGACTTTCAATGTTTCAATGAGATAATTCACTTTATGACAGAAGCAGCTGAAGACGAGCGGCTGCTTTGCAGACACGTGCAGACAGGTGAGCCCTCACTCAGAAACACACTCTCATGCAGGATTATGCTGGTTCAGAGGTCCAGATTTGGGTACCTGACACTTTACACTTTAATGAAAAACCAAAGGAAACACTATGGGGAAACTTTGTGCTGAGAATCATCTTTATGAAGCTTCACAAAATCATAAAATTTTTAAAAAAAGGAAAGTTTAACTTCAATTTATTGGGAGTTTTCAGTAATATTGTCAACTGCTCTGGCAACAAACTGAAGATGAACTAAACTTCCTATCATGACTTCTGTCAGCTGGCAGGTCTTTCACTTTCCTTTACTCTCCTGAACTTCTAGATAGTTCTGCACCACCCTGCAGACGATTCCTTTTATGCTCAGTGTTTCTCTATAAAAGCCTTTCCGGCTCCATTCCCCCCCCTGTGTCAAACAGGCCTTGGTTATTCTCTGTTTTGATCTGTTTCTAAAAGGCCAGCAAGTATAACGGAGCACAATTATTGTAAAAACTTAGATTCTAATGAGGCTTTTCCCACAACAGGTGACATGTATGATCACTTCTTTCTTTTTAGTTAACCATAGGACAAGTCCCATCTCACTGGAACCAAGAACTCTTCAGGAAAAAGAAATCTCAACAGTTTCCTGCTTATATTTTTCACTCTGCATCTTTTGCAGAGTGAATATGACATAAAGAGTCGACTAACGTGTAATAAAGTAATAATTCAGAAAAAGAACTCAACAGATACGAGGTTAAACAGCTTCAAAAGAGAGCTTGTAACTTTCCTGGAACTCAGACAGATGTTTAAAGTAACTTGAGAACATGGTGACTTTCATGCTGCACCTGCCTGGAATCTGCCATCAAAATGGAATTAGCTGTTGAATAGCGAGCGCCAACAATACAACTTAAGTTTTTACCTTCAAACGAGGGGGGAAATCCTGTCTTTTAATCCACCAGAAAACTGTGAAGCCCTGTTGCTCAGGAAGTCATTCAAAGGTGGCGAGAGCCTGTTCTGATAGGTCAGCCTCCCTTCTCTGTTCCTCACTTTGAAAAGTCTCTGCTCTGTAAAGCTGTGCCTCCTTTATATAAAGCAGGGATAACCACTCCCCCGACCCCCCCCCCCCCTCACTCTGGGGCCTGTCCCCTGCTCCACGGCCTGCTTTCCTCCAGCTCTCACACGCCACTTTCCTCCTCTTATCGGACTAAAAATGCACTCAGACACATCTACATGCCCACTGATGGTTTTCCACAATTTTCTCTTTACTGTCACCTTTCCAAACAGCCATGGCTTTGTCCTGTTCTCATTTCCACAGATAAGTGATTCCCACTCAGGAGGAGGCGACCCGCTGCTCCTCCTCCTGGACGCAGGTTGCATAACCTGCATAACCTCAGTGGGCCGGGAAATCACGGGACGCACTCTGAAAGTTTCTAGAAGGCTGGAAGATCCCGCAAACAAATCTCTGGAGGTGAATTTTTTAGGCAGGGGTTGGAGGGAAGAAAAAATTCTCTGAATGTACGAGTTGTACGAGTATACGCACAAATATTTTTATGCTTTTTTCCCCCTGCTTGATCCATTTGTCATTTGTTCCGAATCTGTTTAAATAATTTGCATCTGTTTTGTAACGTTTTCTTTCTGAGCTGAACAGTCCAGGTTAAATATACAATTCAGTGAGAGTCCATTTGAAAACATCCACAATTTATTAAATTTGTCTTATGTACAAGAACAACAGAATTAAGCACAACACTTACACAGTATTTTCTTATTTTTCTTGTCATCTGCTGTCCAATTAATTAACCATAATGACAAAAACACTAGACCCAAAGCTAACACAAACCTATGAATCACAAATACCAAATAGCTGTGTCTCAACCCTATTTCCCTCTTGGCTTGACCACATAAAATCAGCACTCTGTGATATATATGATATATATGAGATGGTATTTACATCATATTTCATGTAAATTCATCACATGTAACATTTGAAATGTTCTCATAAGACAGAGCAACAACAGAGGCACAAATAAATATTTTTTTTTAAATTAGGAAAGCAAGTGCCAGAGGTTTTGACTTGTTAAAGCCTGAATACAGCCACAGTCTGCTGCCTTTCAAAAACAGATAACATCCAACCTTTTGAATGACAACGACCATACTTACGTGTAGCTTTCATAATTTCTTGTGTAACGCCTTTTGCTGTGAGAAAATGCTTATTTTCACATGTGCTCTGCATGTCAGTCACCAGATAAATTCAAAACAGGGTCTTTAAATCAGATACAAGGAGCTGGCAGACAGTTTCTTTCAGTAACGCGAGCAAAGGGGAGGCAGTTCCAGGTAACAGGTTCGCTTTCCGAACCGCTCTATAATTACGGCTTTAACACCTCTTACACAACCTCCCGAAGCGAGGCGCCCTGAGCTATGCTTACAGTGTTTAATTGTCCCCACTTTTTCAATCATTATTATACCTTTGCTGTACGGGCCTCAGTTGTGCCAACATGTAAAGAATTTTCACCGCTACCGGCACGAGATGCTTCACCCGTAAGGAGGAATGACTTTGATTGCCGTAAACACACGAGAACTTGACTGTTTCCATCTGGATGAGACACGAGACCCCTGAATCAGAGGAGGAAGTCCTCAGATAAGGGAGCGTGCGTGATTCACTCCCGGCTCATCGGTAAGGTCGAAAAGAGTGAATCATCTTGGACAGTTGTAAGAAATGCAAAGTCTGAGGGCGGTTTGTTGCAAGACTCATGTATGGGTGTACGTTTCTGTAGTAGGACTTGATCCAGACTGTGGTGACTCAGGGCTGAACAAGCCCTCCAGATGTTGACACATCACTCTTAATTCCCCTGAGGAAAAGGCTGGATAGGAAGTCTCATATCATATCAGTAGTGCTTCTGTTCGTGAGGTAATATCCTGAGAATAGACTGAAATAAGGAGGCTGGAGACTGACATGAAAACAATACACCCCATACATAGAAGAAGAGCTCCCAGGGGATCCAGTTTAGGGAAAAGCAACAGATACGGAGAAGAAGAAGAAGAAGAAGAAGAAGAAGTCTGGGATGTCGATGAGAACGGGCTTTAACCCTTTAAAGCCTGATCCAAGAATAAAAAAAAACTGAAAATTACTTTTTTTTGTTTGACTTCCTTATTTGGCCTTTTAACAAAATATGTAAAAAGAAAAAACAGAAATATTTCTTTAATATTATTAATTTATTACCATGCGATAAGTCAAGATTATTTTTTGTGTAGTCTTCTGCCCCCTGTTATCAGGTATATCTGATTGTGTACAATAAGATTTTGAACAAAGTTTTTACCATTAAATCATTCAAGAGGTGTCAGACTCTAAACATTTCAGAAACCGTATGTATCAAATATGACGCATTTGGCATTATAGGGTTAATTTGAGTTGATATGGAACATTCAGGAAAAACAAACAAGCATTGAGACCAAAACTGGCGTGGGCTCGTCACACAAACACGCGCGCACACAGTCACCCCGAGGAACAATCCCTCTCTTTTTCCCTGAACATTGCATCATAATGATTCCACGATTCCAGCTGCTCTCCGTCAGGGTGGAGGTCCGGAGCCTCTGGAGGAGTCCACATGTGTCCGTCTCCCTTCCTCTGGTGCGTTTCCCCTTCCAGGAACACGCTGGACGTGTGCGATTGATAGTGAAATAAAAAAGGAAGAGGCGTGCTGGCAGCACAAATGCGAACAGAGTTTTCTGGATGTTTCCGAGGCCGTCGGCAGCAGGTGGACAGAGAGAAAACACCCACAAGCTGCTGTTGATGAGAAGCTGTGAGGTTTTCTTTGTACTGTTTGTTCTGTTTGCTCTGCAGCTGCAGCCATGACAGCCGATGGATTTTCATCCCTGTAAAAAAAGTGGATGCTCCATAAGCTCAAAGGAAGTGACATATTCAATAAGGGGTCTCAGCTTTTTAGGGTCTTAGGAAAGGCGAGGCAAGTTTATTTGTATAGCACATTTCATGTATAAGACAATTCAAAGTGCTTCACAGAGCATTTAAAAGCACAAAAACAAGGAAAGAAAAATAATCTAAATTAGACAAATGAAAAGTGAAGGGTGCTGATAAAATACATTCAATTTCCACATGCACAGTTAAACAGAAGCGTTTTCAAAATGGATTTAAACACTTTCAGAGTTGAGTCTGTGTCACATCTTCAGGAAGACTGTTCCAGATTTATTTATTTTATTTTATTTTATTTTATTTTATTTTATTTTATTTTATTT